TAACCCCCAGAACCTGTGAGTGTGACCTTATTTGGAAATGAAGTTTTTGCAGATGTAATCAAGTTAAGTAGAGGCTATACCAAATGAGGCTGGGCCCTAATCCAATAACTGATGTTCTTTTAAAAAGAGGGAAATTGGCCACAGACACAGAGAGAGAGAGTTTTATGTGAAGACAGAGGCCGAGATTGGAATGCTGCACCTACAAGCCAAAAAACACCGAGAATTGCTGGCAACCACCAGAAGCTAAAAGCGGCAAGGAAGGATTCCTCCCCTGGAACTTTTAGACAGAGCATGGCCCTGCTGGTACCTTGATTTTAGATGTCTAGCCTCAAGAACTGTAAGAGAATAGATTTCTGTGGTTGCAAGCCACCCAGTTGTGGTATTTGTTACAGAAGCCCTAGGAAACTAAAACAGTTTGGGGAAACTGTTGGCTGAGCTGGGGCTAAAGTGAAGAGATTGAAATTATGCAAATGAATGCAACCAGGCAAGTTCCAGTGGTTGTTCCTATAATTCTGCACACTAGAATGGAGTCCTTCATCTACACTACTCCATTCCTACATTCTAAGACTGCCTGTTTTGCTTTAAGGTAAGTGATAGGGTGCGATGAAGAGAAACACTGGAGTGAGACAAACCTGGATAGGAATCCTCAGTCTGTTACTTTCTAGTTGTAAAGTGTGATACAGATCGTAAACTCTTGTGGTTTCAGTGTCCTTACCTGAAGAATACAGCCTTCCACAGTGGGCTGTTGTGAGAACCACTGTAGTTGCCTATCGAAGCTCTGTCAGGTTTAGTTTCTTTGCCTCTGCTTTACTAAGTCTTTGAACCAAGCTGGGGCTTGGGAATTGGGAAAGGAAAGCAATATTATAAACACTTACTATAGAAGAAAGGAGTCCAAGAACCATTACATATTGGGCTAGGAGCAACCTTCAAAGCCACATAGGCCAATTCTCTCATTTTAGAGAGGAGGGCACTGGCCATGTTGTCTATTTTCCACACTCAACTGTCTATGTTGGGGACCTGGGAAACCTTTAAGTGAATGTTTGTTGATGGATGAAGTGACTTGGAAGTCCTCATACGAAAATGAGGCTTAGTCTTTTTTTTTCTTGATTTGGACTCTCACTCTGTCACACAGGCTGGAATGCAGTGGCATGATCACGACTACCACATCTTCAAACTCTTGGGCTCAGGCGATCCTTCCTCTTCAACCTCCTGTGTAGCTGGGACTACAAGTGCCCACCACCATGTAGAGATAAGGTCTCCCTGTGTTGCCTAGGCTGATATCAAACTCCTGAACTCAAGCAATTCTACCACCTCAACCTTCCAAAGTGCTGGAATTATAGGTGTGTGCTACCATACCCCACCAAGACTTCGTCTTATGGTGGGAATTAAGCCACCATTTGACACCATTTAATGGGCTTCACCCATATCACTACTTTGCCCAGACCTGGGTCTGACCATCCCATTCCTGGCTTAGTATCTCTCAAAGAATGATTTTCTTTTTTTAATTTTTTTTATTTTAGAGATATGAGGTACAATTCAGGATGAGGTATTCAAGCAGTCATTACACCGATAAAATTTGGATCTCTCTTAAGAATGATTTTCTAAACCTAAGAAAAACCTTCTGGACATTGGCCTAGACAAAAAATTTATAATGAAAACCCCAAAAGCAAATGCAACAAAAACAAAAATAGACAAATGGAATTTAAATTAAAAAGCTACTGCATAGCAAACAAAATAATCAACAGAGTGAACAGAAAACCTACAGAATGAGAGAAAATATTTTCAAATTATGTCCCTGATAAAAGACTAATGTCCAGAATCCATAAGGAACTCAAACAATTTAACAAGAAACAAAAACTACCATTAAAAACTGGGCAAAGGACACGAACAGACATTTCTCAAAAGAAGACATGTAAGTGGCCAACAGACACATTAAAAAATGCTCAGTATCACTAATTATCAGATAAATGTAAATTAAAACCACAATGAGGTATCACCTTACACCAGTCAGAATGGCTATCATTTAAAAGTCAAAGAACAGATGTTACTGAGGATACAAAGAAAAGGAAATGCTAATACACTGTTTGTGGGACGGTAAATTAGTTCAACCCCTATAGAAAACATATGGAGATTTCTCAAAGAGCTAAAAATAGAACTACCATTTGACCAAGCAATCCTACTACTGGGTATCTACCCAAAGGAAAAGAAATTATATAAAAGAAGACAAAGACACTTGCATTCATATGTTCATTGCAGCACTACTCACAATAGCAAAGTCATGGGACCAACCTAAGTGCCTATTAACAGATGACTGGAATAAGAAAATGTGGTACATATACACCATGGAATACTATGCAGCCATGAGAAGAAATGAAATCATGTCCTTTGCAGCACTTAGCCATTGTCCTAAGTGCTGAGTTTGTTAACTCAGAAACAGAAAACCAAATACCACGTGATCTTACTTATAAGTGAGACTTGGGTGCTATACATCGCTTTGCTTTTGAATGACCTGTGTGGACTTAAAAAAATTATTTGTCTGTGGTTCAGTTCTCCTATAGCGGTATTGACCTTGATAGCTTCTGAGTCTCTTCCATCTTTCAAAATTAAGATTCTATAAAAATGAATAAAGTAAGCTTTTCTATGTATTTTTACTTTGTAATAGAGGTAGTTTACTGGTATTACACATCATGGCTACTGGCAATCTCGTGTCGTTCATCTGGGTCACGGGGTCAGCATGTTTCCTGGGGTCAGTTATCGTTGCCAGGAAAAGACAGATGGTGTCCTCATTAAAAATCTAAAATGCCAGCAGAGGTACTCCCCAGGGAAACCGAAGATCACACAGCAACTCTTTAAACATTAAAATTGTACAGGTTGTGTGGGGATGGGGAGGTGGCAGGAGGTACAAGAGGAGAGGAGAGAGGCAAGGCAGGGGGTAGAGGATGGTTAGGTGAAAGGAAGATGGGTGCAGACAGCACAGGTGTGGACAGTCACTTGTTTTCTCGTGAGTGCTTGGCACACACCTAAGCTTGACAAATGAGGATGTGCTTATGAAATCTGAGTGGACACATGAAAGTATTTCCATTATATGTGGGGGAGGGCAAGAGCTAAGTGTCCCATACATTTATCTTCTTTAGAGGTTTCAGTTATCCATTTGCCAAGACTGCCCCAAGCTTGCTCTCTCTGTAACCCTTCCAGCATTTATTTGGCCTTCATTGAGATCCTAATTGTGTTTGTGATGCAGTTATTTGGTTATACCTTCCGATCAGACAGCTAGTCTTATAGGACTGTCCGCCTACATATTAGTACCAATTAGATATCATTACTTTAAATTTAGTATGTCAAAAGCAAATTTAAAATGAGTTCCCTTCCTAACTCACTCTGTTCTCATTGTGGGCATCACCAATGTCATTCCAAGATTTAAACTCAGAAATTTTTTTCCCACCACTAATGCCATTTCAAGATTTAAAGTTGGAAGATTTTTTTCCACCCCTCACAACCCTCCATCAATAACCATTCTCAACCTCTATCAACAACAACAATAACAAACTCATCAATCTACCCACTGCTTCATAAATGTGCGCTATTCTATTATTTGTATTATGATATTATCCAATCAGTCCCCTGGGTTGAGGCTTTTCTCAGGGTCTCTTGAATTCATCTTCTTTCTCTCCTCTCCACCTTAATCCCTGTTTTCATTCCCTCATGCCCGAACTCTCAGAGTATCCTTCTCACTGGCCTCCCAGTCTCCAATTTTCCCCTGCTTCACTCCATGTCAAATAAATCAACAGACTGATCTTTTTAAAAAGTATTTTCATCAAGTCATGGTTTGCCGCCAAACTTAGGTGGGTTCCCACCGACCAGTCAGGATGTTTACAACCTCTTCCTGTGGTGTCTAAGAGCTTCTGGCAACTCCTGCCCTGGCCCTCCCTCCCCCAAGCTACTCAAGATATATATCTGTCTTTATTCAACTCATACTTGTTTGAGCACTAAAGATGTGCCAGCCCCTCCCTCTTTTGCCCACTTCCTTCCTCTTCAATAATGCCCAATAATGCTCCCATGTAGCCACCACAGTGACTTTGCTCCCATTCTCGCCCTACCAGGAATCTCCTCCTTTCTGCCAACTCAGAACTGATATTTCTTCCAAGATAGACTTTCTCCTGAAGGTTCCTCACACAAATGAATCCCAGACCATAATAACCTTTCCCTTTTTTTGGGTTCCCTCAGCATTCTCACACTAGATATCTATTGCTAAGTATTACTCTCTTATTATTTCACATGCATTTATTGATCTCCCCGACTGAAATTTGAGCTCCAAAAGAGCAGGGGCCAAATCTTCATTTGCCCAGATCTTGATTGATGCAAGGCCGGTAAGGACCTTGATTTTGCACGTAGCCCATGGACAAGGCCTACTTGCTGCAGCGTAGGCAATAAAGGCAAAAACAAAAAGAAAAAAAAAAAGGACTGAAGAGCGAAGGCGAGCTCCTAGCACAAGGTTAGAGACTCAGACGTGTTTTGAGAAATGTCTGTTAAATACTGAAATTAATTTTTAAAAAACAATTGAAGCCCCTTACACACCATGTGCTTCTCTAGCACAGAAATTTCTGCTGTATTCATCCAGAATAGGACAGCCAGTATAACCTATTAGGTCTCGATCACTAATTAGATTTGAAATCCTTGACTCTTCTCGGCCAGAATGCTACATCCAGTAGGGAAAAGCGATGCCATCAGCTGCCTCTATCAGAATTTGCCCCTTCACCTGTCAACTACCGACAAGTTAGCACTAGTTCATGCCCTTGAACCAGAGGTTTTCTGATTCCTGTAAAGTCAGTTATTTGTAGGGAAATGTGTAAATCCCAGCTCCCTTCCCCCTTGGTTCAGTTGCATAAAGTCTTGCCCAAACCTAGAACCCAGACAGGCAACATTAGGCTTCTTGCAGAAAGCAGAGAAGGTGTCCCTTTCCCCAGAAGTTCTTAGGAGTGCAGAGAGGGAAGTGGACTTACCCTCACACAGTAGTTCATGCCCATTCCCAACAGGTGCTGCAGAAAGTGCTTGTCCTGCTTGCTCCTGAGGGCTGGCTCCCCAGGGCCGGGAAGCGGACACACATCGGGGGTAAAAGCGGGTGCCCTCTGTCCCGCCAGGTCCGGCTGCTGCGGTGCTGCAGACCCGGTTCCACTTAGGCTGGCCTCCGGGGAAGCGGGGCTGCTGGGAGCCGGGTCCCGGCTTTCCTGGAGCTTCAGCCGGGGCACCTCTTTGGTACCCAGGCAAAAGTTTTTCAGACTCAGCAAAGTGGCCGGGTTGGCCAGCTTCATGCTCGCCATGCGAGGGATCAAGGTGCACAGTGGGGTGGGGCTCTCCTGGGACGGCAAGGTGGCATCTTCAGCCGGCAGGTGAGGTGCCAGGACGGGGTAGGGAGGCTGCGAGCCCTTGTTCCCGACCGAGCCTCCGGGGCTGCCTTCGTCCAGGGACGTGATGGACTCGTTCCGAAAGCGGCTGTACTTGGCCCTGTGCAGCATCCCGGGGTGCCCGAAGAGTCCTACATACAGCACGAGTCCTGCCAGGCTGTCCCGGCCGCGTTCTCGCATAGCCTTGGCAGTGCTGAAACAGGATACTGTTGCATAAATCGCCCGGTCGTCTGGCAGATAAACGGTAGGGACATCAGATGCCTCAGCACCCCGTGCGACTCGCGGCCGCCACCTCTCTAAGTCTGCTCTCGCCTCGCCCGCCTCGACTCCCGGCCCCTGAAGGGTGACAGCCCGGGGCTGAGGGCGGGGGTGGGGGAGAACGCCTCCCCAGCTCTGATTTCAGCCCCTCCCTGGCCCAGGCGGCGGCACCCGGGGTCCTCGCCTTGGATTCCTCGCTGGGAGAGCCCGGACCCGGACTCCCGGCGCGGGGGTCGCTCACCGCCAACTCTTGGGCACAGAACCGGGCAGAGCCCCGGCCAGCCGGTCCCGCCGCATCTCTCGCCTTGCAAGAGTCCAGGAAAAATATTGAGCGCCCCTCCCCACCCCACCCCAGTCTCCCCCTTTGCACACAGGAACTTTCAAACCTGCTCCCTTCAAGCTCCCACAGGGCGGGGCAATGACTGGCCTATTAACCCTTTATTTGTTCCTGGGATTGTTCATTTAAAAAGGAAAAAAAAAAATGTATCTCTGAGTCAAAGGCCCTTCTGCCTGGGTTCGTTGATTCTGATGGCTGCCCTCTCTTGGAAGATCTTGTCTTGCATCCCGTTCTGGGCCACAGGCCAGGAGTACTAGTGACGGGCGCTGCTCCGCATTGTTTCACTTGCAATCTGTCCGTGCTCCTCGGACCCCCTCCCGGCCCGCCCACCCCTCGCTCGGTGGTCCCCTCCCTCCTGGACGCCTCTCGGAGCTCTTTTCTGAAGCCCCCTTGCTGCAGAAGGCTGAGATGTGCAGGATGAGACGCAGAGTGTTGAAATTTTTATGAATGAACTTTGCCGAATGAATTTCTCTGTGTGCAAGCTAATAAATCTGTGAATGAAGCTGAGAATAGCTGTAATTGACTGACGGTCTCAGGGGTGCTTGGTTTTTATCCAATCAGGCGGCAGCTTGATGACTCATGCACCATAAATATACTAAACTAGTAGCCCGGAGAAATAAAGCTGCGGGGAGAGGAGGGAGATTTTATTTTGTAGTATCTGATGAATGGGTTAAAAGGGAAAGCGATCTTTGCTACAGATCGTCAGTTAGCTGGGGAGCAGTAGGTTAAAAGATCTATTTTCTTTCTTGTTGAGATGGCCGGGAGAGCCAAGCAGAAGCGCTAAAAATTAGATCCATTGTTCCAGGGATATTAGGACATATGGTTCACAACTCCTGTGGGAAGCTGTGATGCATTTTTCTTAGAAATATAGTTCTTTTTTTATTGATTGTTGGTTCCATCTTCCGTCTGGTGCAACTTCCTGTACCTATCAAATGCTTCCTGAAGACATGATGACAACTGCAGAGGCTTAGCACACAGGAAGCCAAACTCGGAGCTGGGAAAAGGAAATGCAGGTTCTTTAGGAATGAAGAGGAAACCGCTGAAACACTGGGGGTGGGGTGGAAATCACATATAGGAAGGTAAGAACATCTCAGCTGAGGGTTGCTTTATACCATGGTCCAAGGCTCTGGCATCTGAAAGTGTTTGTAAATTCAAAAATTAAAGCAAACTGGGAAGCAGGGATGCCACCCTCATTATCTTATTGACCCCAAGGCTGCATTAGGCTCATGTGTATTCATGACTTTGGTAGAGCCTGAGCTCCCTTGAGATCCAAACACAGGTTCTCAATTAAATGACTGAGTCTGACCAGCAGAAAAGGCATCTTCACTGGCTTCCTGCTTCAACACGGAAATAATGTACCTTTTCACTTCCTGTCTGCCAAGCCTGCTGGGGGGATTTTTCCCAGGGAAGGTCTTTATCTTCATAAATCTTCCTTTCAACCTTTGTTGATCTTTCCCTTTCCCCACATCACCTCCTGGCTAAACTGAGGAAAGTGGCTACATCATTTGGACCCCACATCCCTGGGGCTGAGGAGACAGGCTCTGGGCAAGATTGTGAAGTAACCAATTTGGTATCTGTTGTTCCTCCTCATTCCTCTCTTTCTTCACCTTGCAATTCTTCCCCTCCCTTGGGTCTCTGCTTTGCTTATTCCATGTTATGACCTACCCCCCATGCCACCTTGAGGAAGTTACTTTACCTCTCTGTGCCTGAATATTCTCATCTGTCAGGAGCAGCTATCTAATGGGGATATTATGAGGGTTTATGAGATAATACTAAACCCTGTAAAGTCTTTGCCCAATGCTCCATGCAGAGCCTGCCTCACTAAGCACATGTAGGCCATCTAAAGGAAGACTGTTGAACCCCCTGAAGCTTTTATCCTTGCCCCTATGGCATAGAGTCTATGCCATTCTAGGTAATTAAAAAGAAAAATTAGCACAAAGTGGGAAAAGCCAAGAAGATCAATACTATCCAAAGAAAACTATTTCCTAACAATCATGTGGACCAGGAGAAAGTGGGGAAGGAGAGAAGCCAGCATGGCTGGTGCAAATCCTTACTGAGGTCTTATGACTACAGGACCAGGTAGGCACCATGCTGTCTGCAATCCAAGGGCTTAGACTGGTCTATATTCCTCTGGAAAACTGAGTCCTGGGAAGGTTGGAAGGGTGGGTACCAGTTAAGGTAAGGAAGCAGTCATGGTCACTGGGGCTACTCCACTATCCCTGGGAGCCCTGGAGATCTTGGCTCTTTTAGGCAGCTCTGCCAAGGCCATGTGTGATGAAAGAGACCAGATTTGCAGCTAGGAAGTGGGGGATAACCTCATAGGCCCAGCCTGCTTAGCTGGGCAGCTCTCTTAGTCCCAAGAGCCCAAGAGAAGACTCACTAGTTGAATGGATTATTCCAGGTAGATGAGTGGACAAGGCAGATGGTTTGCTTTTTCCTGGGCCATGGGAACATCCTCTTCTGTTAGTAATAATGAAAGTAATATTAATAAGAGTGACTCTTTATGGAACATCTTACAGTTTACCTACATTCTTATCCAATTACTATAACAAATTTTGGAGGCTGGGATTATGTTCATTGTCACCCTTCAGATATGGAAATGAGGCTGAGACCAAGTGCAGTGACTTGGCCAAGGTCCCCCAGCTGTTGAACAACGATGTTGGGATTCCTCCAGCAGCTTGCCTGACTGCAAAGCCTGCACTGGCAGCCACTGTCCTCTGCTGCCTCCCAGGGGACCAGAGGGCTCAAGTCTAGATCCCAGGCCTATGTTGAGGGCTATGGGCATCTCACTGCTCTCTAGAGCTCTGAGAAATGACTGAACAAGAAGAAGAGCTAGGGGTTTCTTGGAAGTTCTAGAATGCCTGGGAAGCCTACTCCTGAGCCACACCTCACAGATTTGCCAGAGAAAAGCCTGGCAGAATATTCTCCCACCTACTGTATCTACCTCTCCTCTCCACAGTTCTCAAGGAAAATGTATTTAGCCCAAAGAAAATTTCTCAAGAGTGAAGATAATATTAGACTAGATATCTCAGAAAACCTTGGTGGCTGGGCCACTACCCACAAACTGTGTGCACTTAGTAGCATAACATAGTAGAAAGAACATTACCTTGGGAGCTACAGAACCAGTTGTGGGATCTTGAGTAAGTTATTTCGCCTCTCTGTGATTCCGTTTTTTTAATCTGAAGAATGGGCCTGATAATAATCAATAATACCTGCTGGGATCTTACTCTTAGACCAGGTCCTGAACAAAGTCCTTCACATTTAAGCCTCCCAGCAACTCTATGCAACAGGTGGTATGTATTATTTACTGACTTGTCCAAGTCACATAGCCAGGGAGTGGCAGATGTGATATAGAACTGAGCACTGACTCACTCCACCCGTACCCTTAACTACTGCGACACAATTCAGTGTGTGCAAGCACCTAACTTCTAGTCCATGCTCATTAAATATTCGCTCTTGCTCCCTTCTCCTGCTTGGAAATCAAACCTATAAAATTCACCTTAAATACCTCACAAGTAAAAACATAAATAAGAGATAAGGAAAACGATTATTGTCATTAAACCATCATAGAACTATTAACCCCTCTCATCGTCGTCCTTGAAAACAGAGTTCTGCTTAGACCACTGTAGTATGTCTTTTATTTTGGGACATCTCACCTCCAAGGGCACCTGCTGTGGAATCAACAAGTCAGCTTCTTAAGGAGCAGCCTGCTCCTGCTGGGCTTCTTGGGTAAAACAGGCAGTTATAAGGGTGACCCAAAAAACCAAAATTATTTCTTTCTGAGGGCAGGCCCCTAATAGTACAGGTTTCTAGCGCTAAGTAAATGTCTAGGACTCCACTGGCATCAGTGTACCAGCTAGCGTTGTTGTGAGAGGCTGCATTCAGCTTCAGTGAATTTTTTTTTTTTTTTTTGGAGATTCTTTCAACACATTTGCCCATTTCATCATGGGTGATTTACAAGCTCACTTACCCACACTGCACTGAGTGTTTTTTGATCAAAAACAGCATGACTCCCATGTCCCACCCAAGCAACTTTTTTTGTTTCCCTGATGAAAAAAGTCCTCAAAGAGAAATGTTTTGCTGATATGGAAAAAACGAAGCAAAAACAACAGAGCACTAAAAGACATTAAAATCAATAAGTTCAAAAACTGTTCTGAGCAGTAAAAAAAGCATCTCGATAGGTGCATTGCATTAAATGGAGAGTGCTTTGAAGGCGACTGAATTTTAAACATGTAAGAATAAATACGCCTGTAATCCCAGCACTTTGGGAGGCCGGGGTGAGGGGATTGCCTGAGTCCACGAGTTTGTTTTTAAAAACAAACAGCCTGGGCAACTTGGTGAGACCTCATCTCTACAATAAATCAAAAAAATTAGCTGGGCATGGTAGCACGTGCCTGTAGTTCCAGCTGCTTGGAAGGCTGAGGCAGAAGGGTCGCCTGAGCCCAGTGGGTCAATGCCAGGGTGACCATGAGTGTGCTACTATACTCCAGCCTGGGCGATGAAGGGAGACTCTAACTCAAAAAAAAAGAAAAGGAAGAATAAATACACAATTTATTATAAATAAATTCCATGGGTTTTCGGTTGTTGTTTGGGGGGCTGTTTGTTTATTTACTTATTTACTTACTTATTTTGGTCTCCCCTTGTACAAGAAAGAGCAGGGTCAGGCTGGGATGTACTAGAATTAGCAGGTCCTGCTAGGGTTTCTTGGAGGAGTCAGAAAGAAAAGGACCTGGCAAAAATGCCTACCTAGCTTTTGAAGATAACCCAGTGTGAAATTTGGGGTGGAGGAAGGGTGTGCTAGATAGTGGAGGGAGGTTCAAACAGATTAAGGCAGAAATAACTCTGGGGTATTGTGGGTCAGTTGCTACTTTGGAACAAAATGGAGCAGGTGGCATCAGAGTACAGTAGCCCAAGGACCTTTACTGCAGACCACCATCCCACCACTAAAGCAGACCCATTAGTGAAGGATTTTCCCTGAGCAATATGCACAATGAGCCTAACAGCCCATTAGTGAGGAAT